AAGCTCTTGATATGCTTTATTAAAATTATTGGTTAGAATTTTAAAATATTATTTTTTGCTAATGTGACATCTTTTTGAAAATGTCACATTATGACTATAAAATTGGGTTGGTTATAGAGGTACTGCACTGTATATAGAATAGGTTTTTTTTGCTTTAAACACGTGGCTATAAGTAGTTGATTATGAAGAGTTTTGATAATAAATGACTAAAGGCTATTGTATTTAGTAAAAGTACATTTAAAATTTAACTTGTTTATTAATAGTAGATCAAATTGGTTGGCAACATAAAATCTCTTTTTGTTTAGCCTGCGTAATGTTCTTTCCTTCAATATTTACTTTTAGAAATAAATGAGCAAGCTCAACTTCTATTGTCATGTTAGTTGTAAGCTTCTGATTCTCATAATAATTTGTATATCATCTTCATCTATCAACTTCGAAGTCACATCTTGTATAAAATCTTGGGCTATTATATAATTGTGGGAAACCTTAGTTTCTTTGGGTAGTATTTGAAATGTTACTTCTGGTATCGTTTCTCCCAATGATTGTGAATTGCTTTGTTATAGTGTTTGGAATCGAATATATTCGAATATACTCGAGTATTCATTTAAATTTATAAAGTGTATTCGAATAATATTCGAATAAGTTAAATTTCCTTTTATAGTAATGATTTACATAATTTTTAGCCTGAATTATGATTTTAACTCAGTTAAATTTAAGGATTTAATGCACAATTAGAATTTTAACTATACTATATATGGCTAAATGAATACTCGAATAACCACTATGCTTATTCGAATACTCGAATATACTCGAGTTATTCGAATAACTGTTACATAATTCCAAACACTATTTTGTTAGCTTCAGTTTTTACAAATCATTGGGGTCTTCAAGGAATATATTAGAAGTATTTTGAGAAGTTGAATGCTTGTTCTGATTTTGGCATAAAAGTGCTGACTTATGCAAAAACTTCTTCTCCCTGTTTCTCTGTCTCATCATATCACTTACCTTTTTCTTACTCACTAAGACTAAGAATTCATCAGTCTTCCTATTTTCTAACGATTTATTAAATATACTAGGCCAGGGTTGTGGTAATATACCTGTACTAGCAAAATTCTAGTACGTACTGTACTAGTAAAAATTTCGTACAAGTACTAAGTACACTGTACTAATACAATTATTACTTTTTAGGATATAATTTAACCATTTTAGGTAGATATCATGTGATCAATATTGTTTATATTTATAAAATTAACCAATAAAATTTATTAATAGTATGTACTAAAATTGTATTTGTACTAAATTTTCAAGTACAAGTACAGTACTTAGTACTCTACTATACTGTACTAGTACTGTACTAGCGCTGTCTCTTATACACATCTAGATGTGTATAAGAGACAGGTACTGTACTAGTAAAAATTTCGTACAAGTACTAAGTACACTGTACTAATACAATTATTACTTTTTAGGATATAATTTAACCATTTTAGGTAGATATCATGTGATCAATATTGTTTATATTTATAAAATTAACCAATAAAATTTATTAATAGTATGTACTACAAATAATTTTTTCAGTATGAACTCGAGAACTACAACAAAAGACCAAGAAAGAGTACGAAGAGACAGTAGTCTCAGCAAAACTGAACAGAACTTCCTGGAGTCGATACAGAATAATAACGCTGTACGCAGAAAAGAAGCTATAAAAGAAATAGTTTTAAAGTGTTCAGCAACGTCTTTCGACGTTTACATAGATGAAATAAAAAGACTCTCATGGGAAAATTCAAAGTTGCGGCAGAAAGATCACATGATAGACAGGAAAGGCAAGATGGAGAAAATACAAGAACGAATAATATCGCAGAAAAATGAACAAATAAGAAAAATTTCGCAAGAAGTAGAGAAAACGAGATCAGAACTAAAAAGGTTAAGACTGGCGTCAACAAAGAAATCGATCAGCTGAAGAAATCTAAAAAAGGAAGATCGACATCAAATAGGAGAAAACAGGAAGAAATTGTAGAAATACCAGTTTTACCAGAAAATACCTATAGGCCAAGAAAGCACGTGACATATTTTTCTATGATATACCAAAATATTGGAGCGAAGAAGACGTAAGAACGAATCTAATGAAAATAGGAACGGTTTTTAGACTGCAAGTAAGAGGATAATACAAATACAAAACCGTTAAGGCAAAAATATCTTTGAATGCAAATTTTGAATAAACTTTCAAAGATGGACATTTTGGGATTTGTATTAGCAAAAATTTCATCAGATAGTATGACGTGATACTAGGGTTAAAAGGACGTCAAGAACGGGATTAATGGCAGACTGTGAGAGACCTAACTAACGAAGAAATAGAATTGATAAAGAAGGGAAATATATACGACTTTACGAAACAACTGCAGCAAACTTCCAAGACAGCATTCATCAAAATTATCAAGATCACAAAAAATTGGAAAGTGATAGGATATTTCAAGAATCTCAAAGAAATGGAAGAAGCAGTTGAGGATTCATACACTCAAGAAAATATCAATAGAGTTTATTTGGTTAGTGAAAAATAAGAAGACGATATACAAAGATGGTGATGACAAGTCGAGAATAAAGAAACTGAATGAGAAGGTAATTCAGGATAAGGAGACAGCAATGAAACCAGGGTTGGGATCGCTTCTACGACCGGCTAGTGAACCGATGACACCCATGACACCACCAGAGAGAATTTATAGAGAACTAGGAAATTTCGCTTCACAAAAAGATAGCTTGTTGCATCCATCAAAGGAAGAAAAGCCAATAAGGACAAACAAAACGCCAGACGAAGAAAAAGTAGTTGATATGATCAAAAATTGGAGAGTTAGAGAAGAGGATATTCCAGACCATAATGACAAATCAGAAAATAAAAGAATGCAATCTCACCTGAAGAAAGATAACGTAGCACCAGAAGAGGTGGTTGAAATCATAAAAGATCACAGAACAACAAATAAAATTAATTATGTTCAGTATCAAGAATCAACCTTCGATGGATCTCTGGTCGACAAATTAAAGAAAGTGAAAGATATTTTCATTCAAACGTCCAACGAAATGGAATGGGAAAAAATCAATATTGAGGTTGTGGACGAACTACGCAAGGAGAATAATATAAGGACTTGGGAGGAAGCAAAGGCTTGGGTTTTGACAAAAAACAATTTTTTCCGATTAGGACAAAAAATTATAGGTTTAGCGGAACAAACGCAAATATTCACAGAATATACAACCCTAAACGATAATTTCAAACAAAGAATGGAAATTGAAAATCGCTACCAAAATAATAATAAAACTGGAGAAAAGAGACTATTACTGGAATCTCTGAAGAAAGAGAGTGAAACAGAGAATAATGACTACGTTGATGAAGAGAATACATCTCCCTCGGAATGCTGGGTAACTAATCTGCAAAATTCTCAGAATCAGGAAATCCAGTTTACGATGAAAGATGAGATTAGAGAAGAAGATGAGAAAGAAGAGGAAGAAGCCATAGCATCAACATCATCACCAAAGAAAAAAAGCAGAAAAAAGAAGAAGAAAAAGGGCAACAAGAAGAATTAGAAATGATAGAAGAATGAACAAAAGGGAAGGAAATATATTTTTAATCGAAGTCACATGATTCACGTAAAAAATTTATCCCGATAACAAAAATAAAAATATATATAACTTTTTCTTTTAGTAATAGTAGGGTAGAATACTAACTTTTATTTTTGTAGGATAAGGAAGATTAGGTGGAATAAATTTAGTTGAGTGTGGGGTCATTAGAACTCATCTTTTAGAGGCTGTCATATGCACAGTACTCAACATTATTACATATTTCATCCTTTTTCCTGCACATTAAAGTGATTATAAATAGTTAGGTTTCACAAATAGCTTAGTTTGCCTGTTTTATTCGGTATAATATTTATTTTATTTTATAATTTTTCTGTAATGTATTTTTTTTGTTCGAAAATTACTCTGTTATAGGGTTGGCACGTGCTTGACACGGTTGGCTCTAGGTATCTTTTATATTAGAGTAGTATAAATTTTTATCAAGATTCTAATAAAGATGCATTACAGTTTTAAAAAAAAAAAAAAAAAAAAAAATTAATAGTATGTACTAAAATTGTATTTGTACTAAATTTTCAAGTACAAGTACAGTACTTAGTACTCTACTATACTGTACTAGTACTGTACTAGTACAATTCCCAACCCTGTACTAGGCTGTGTTGTAACGTCAACAATAATTTGCTCCTGCTTGATTTTTCTGACATTACAATTGAGTTCTGCAATGAGTTTAGCTTTTTCTTTATCACTCTGCTCTAATTTTGCAAGTCTGGCCTCATTCTCCTCTATAGCCTGCTTTAGTTTAGCATTTTTAACTTTAACCTTGGCATTTTCAGCCTTAATCTCAGCATTCTCAACTAGAAGCTTGATACGCGTTGTTTTAATAAATCAAGTTCAAATTGCATGTTCAATAATAACTTTTATATAGAACACGATTATTTAAAATGCATTTTTACCTAAGTGGGACTTTAGGTCTCACCTTTTTTTATTTACTAATACATCTCTATATTCCATAAAAAATATACTTAATATAATGTATAACATTTTCAGCTTGAATTCTTTATTGATGCAGTAAATAAATTACATGATTTGATAATACATAGACTTGTTTTACAATGTGAAATGGTGGGCATTTCTATACTAATGCCTACAGACCCACACCATCATCCGAACTATCTATACTAATATAATATCTCAACATTAATCCGATTTCATTTGTCCTTAACATCGATATTCTAGATAGAACAAAAATGGTCATCAGTTATGCAGAGCCAGAAATAAATTAACAGTATTGACCTTAGTAGAACTCACCAAAAGTTTATATTCCCCTAACAAAAAAAATAGATATTAGCTTTGTAAGCTCTGAGTCGCTTCCTTGTAAATGTACAGTCATAACATACAGTATCTTTGTTTGCGTAATGTCTTCCCAACTGGGAATTATTTTGATTGGTACTCTCATGTGACATCATGACATGTGGCTGATTTTTGATTGATAAATTTTTTAATTTTTTTCGATTTTGTATTTGGTCCTTGACACATTGCTGACTCTGTTCGTAATATTACTGACTCACAGTTCGTAGTAATTAGTCAACAACCGTTTATGAAAATATATATATATATATGACATATAATCAAAATGTCAAGCTATTCTTCGCTATCTCGAGTACTTTCGCCGTTCCGGGTACAAACTAAATTTGAGGAAAAAACCCTACCCGCTAGGTTTAACGTTGTATCCAAAATGTTTTATTTGTGTTATTACTTTTTTGAACTTTGTTTCTAACTCTCGATTTTCGCGTTTGCAGATATACCGACATCATGGTATTTTGTCTCGTTCAAGGTGACGCTATTAAAAACTCTTTTCCGATTGATATTAGTAGTCACACGACCGTTGGGCATCTAAAAAAAGCTATAAAGGACGAGAAACAAAATGCCTTTATTGGCATTGACGCAGACAAACTGACATTATGGAGAGTCGATATTGTACAAACCAAGGAAAATCAAGAAATGAAAATAAAAGAACACAAAGGAGTAGAGTTGCATTCATTCGAATCTGTTGGAACTCATTTTCAAAATGTACCCCTTAGCACTAACATCCGTATCATCGTCCAACCGCTTCTGCCCGCCACTACTGGTAAGTGTCTCCCAATTTTTTACCTCTCGAACAAGGAAATTGCAGTAACAAAATATCGAGTTTGGTCTCACATTCCCCAATCATGATTTTTTTTTTCAAACAATTAGAACCCGGGAAAACCAGTAAGCGCGCACAATCTTTATTGCTTGAACTATTCTAATACCGATTTTAATGTAAATTTACCGCCTCTCCTTAGTTGGAGAAATTATTAAAGAAATTACGAAGGATTTGAAAGAGCGTAAGCCTAAATCATCTTACGAATCAAATGACATGCCACTGCAACAACGTGACTTTAGCGAGGCAACGAATAAAATTGAAGCAACCGCAGTAGCTAATATTGAGAGAAAGATAGGCAATTCGAATTATTGGTGTATCGTCAGCGCAGGAGCCCCCGGGATAGGTAAGTTTCTTAGTTTCTTATGTCTTTTATAAATGATTTATATAGATTGCCATCTGTATCTGAAATTCCTTGAATAGGAAAAACTCGATTTGGAATAGAGCTTTTTGATTACATCAAAAAAAATTGGAATCCTCCAAAACAATGGGGTGATGTACATTTTGAATATCTCTATATGAATTTTAGGAATGGTCTTTACCTTAAAGAAGATGACAGCGAACTTATACCAGAGGTAATCCTTGGATTGCGGGCTGCTTATGCATTCTTCATTGAAAAAAAATATGCCATCACTTTCGATATATTCTGTGTTAAAGCTCTTGTATACGACAAAAGTATTTTCAAATTTGATTCCGTCATTTATTATTACTATGAATCTCTGAAGTTCTCCAACAATCAAAAATTATTCTTGTATCTTCATATTGATGAATTTCAAATGATTGATGAATGGGATGCATACAATAAAACAAAACAATTCTTTAAGAATATGATCCGTGGCATTGCAAAATTCATGACTGGTGATTATCCTACTTTTATACAACCATTCCTCTCAGGAACAACACCACGAGCTATTGCTCAACAAAAACAAGCTACGGATATCTCATTTCAGTTTGTTGATTGTCCATTATTGGACATTAAATCGATGATTCGAATTATGGACCATTTTGCGACAAAATTTAAAGCACCAACAACATTATTAGACTTTGAAGCACCAGAAGCACCAACTAAAAAAGACGCAGCAAACAAAAAAAAAAAAGGCGTAGCACCACCAACAACAAAATACGTATATAAGTGGAAGCTTTGTGCTCCACTTTTACAACTTCTGATAGATACTGGAGGTTTGCCTCGTGCACTTGAAAAACTCCTTGACGTATGTTTTAAGACAATAGGTGGTAATGGAAAAAAATTCTTTGAGGACCTAGAGTATGATTATGATAATATTTTCTCAATCGTTAAGAATGATCTTGAAAAAATGTACGACATTTATAGAAAGGTTGACGATGAAATGGAACTTTACATGAATCTTTTGTACCATTGCGTTGAGGGGATCCCTGTTGAAGAAAATAAGCGCTTAGATAATAAAAAAGATAATAAAGAAGATAATAAAGGGACAACAGTCAAAGATCTGCAAACCGACGGGCATTTTGCTCTCTCTTCATATGACGGTCGAGATTTGTTCCTTATTGAAATGCCATTTCTTTTTGTTTGCATTTATAATGATAAGTTAAAGATTGTTGATGTAGAACTTATGAAGAAGGCCTTTAGTGTAAATAATAATTATATGTATTGGCAAGAATGGGAATTATTTGTAGCACATCACATTTCCTTTCGCGTCAATCTGGCCATTAAAATGGGGAAAAATGAGCTATCTCTTCGAAATCTACATCCTGGTGCTTATGGAACGAAAGAAGACTTGGATATTGTTATGAAATTGAAAAGGCTCGGTATATATAGGTCGAGAGAGCAATTTCCATTAAATTTAATAGTGACGGATAATTCTGATGGTTCAAAGATCCCCTGGGATAATGGGCATTGTGTTGTTGTTAATGGTACTTCTGCTGAATCTTCAGACATGATTTATGTTATGGAAGGTGTATCTGGATTTTTTTATATCATAATGGTTCAAAACAAATGGGATTATGGCTCAGAGGAGATAAAAGAGGAAAATGTTAGTGATGAAAACAAGAAGAATGTTAAGAGCATCAAACGTTCTAACCTTGAAGGGTATGAAACCAAAACGATCATATTTACTACACAACCATACAAGGGGAATAAAAATCTACCAGAAATTCTGATCGTCTCAAAAGAAAATTTTAAGAGCTACTTTGGCCCCGTTTTTTCAGCACGAGCCACATTTTCTCTTACTAGGGATATCAATCCCAATTTTTGGGATATAAATAGGTTAAAAAATACTCTTATGGGAATTGGTAATGCTTCTATTTATAATGTTGCTGCAAAACGGCCATATATTAGAGAGGATCATTTTTATAGTGTGAACCCAAGGGCGGTTAAAAAACAAAAATTAGACCTTTTCCCATTTGATGTACAAGGCACTGAAATATATGCACCCATCATTTAATCGAAAATTAGGGATATGCTCTGAAAGAATCAAGCTTTTTAGTCTTCTTGTAGGTGTTATGTTTGCTTTAGGCTTTATATCAACGTTTTAAAGTATAACAAAAAAAAAAAATCTTTTAATGTAAGAATGATTAGTTTTATTGCTATAATAAATTTAATGCACAAGTATTAATTTTAAATTGAATTATGTGTAAAGTATAAAATGTTATGTACATTTGCATTAAATTATGGTTGTGCTTATAATTATTGGGGGTTTTTTTGTTTACTTGCATGAGCATTTACAATTATTTTCTTCCTATCATCAAATATAACAAACAGATTTATCAATAATACTTTGTTTCCTTCCAACATCAATTTATACCCACTTCTCCCAATATATTATCTTCTTTCTATGTTGAATGCCAAAATTGTAGTACTAGTGGTCATTAGCTGGTGGTCCTCCTTTGGTTATTTCTGTTTTGCAATAAAAGTATGTTAATTATTTTTTCGCTTCTTGCTTTTGGCATAGAATAATAGACATAATGTTAGCGTATTTGAAAATTTCTTGGACACATACCCAACTAAATATTGAATCAATAAATACTTACTATTATTGAAGTGAAAAGTAAACCGCATCTTTGATAGAGACCCCTATTTTTCTTCATTCACCTCTTCGAGGGGATGTGGTATCCAGAAAATCATACATATTTTTTTTGTAGACATGAATTATATATTTCCAAAAAATAACATATGTTACAAAATTCTTTAGGAATGAAGTTCTTAATCTCCAGTTTTAGATGGAATTCCAAAGTGATTCGTTTAAGTGCAGGGAATAAGACACTAGTAATAGTAGTATTATTAATAATATAATTTATGTGTTCATACAATTTTTGCACTATGTATATACATGCAGTTTCACTATAGCAATTGTGACTTCAGATCATAGTCTCGTAGTTGAGAATTTGTAATTACAAATTAATGATCATAGATTGAATGCTCAAACTTATTGTACAATAATTTCGGTATAACATCAGAATGACTAAGTATCTGGCAAATAAAATGGTAATGACGTAGTGTTAACATATTTAGAAATTTCTTGGACACAATATATTCTCCAAAATAAGAAAGACAATTACGAATAACTCCTTTACCTAGTTAAGTTTATTTTTTGTATTTAAAGTTTACGTGAAATGTACAAGTTAATAAACATATAATTTCATTTTAACATTTGATATAAATGGATGTTATATTACCTTTTAGATATTTAAGTTTCTGGATACACTTGTTAGATTTTCATTTTTTCTTTGTTGAATCTCATCATCAAACAATTTTAAAATTGGCTCATAAGATACGTCAACTTTTAATCTATCTATTTAAACAGGGTTTTGTGAAATTGTACCATAGGTAATTGATAAAATATAAAAATACAATGGATTTATGAGATTGTATATATTAATATATATCAAAGCACCATTTCTCATACATTTTATACATACAGTATGTGTACCATATGTGAATTTTTTGTAATATTTATTAATACAATAATAATATAAACTAAAACATCATTTCCTTAAATTAATATATCAATAGTTTGAATTAACTGGTCCATCCCGATTACCATAAAGGTTATACTTGCAAGTCTCTGTTAAATCCAATGCTTGTTCATTAATATCACTATAAATACCATTATTATTGTTGATATTCCCAGCTAATTGAATGAAATGGAATGATTAAAACCATAAAGATTATTAAAACACACACTGGTCAGATAAAGAGTTATCAGAACAAATTTTATATATCTGATAGTCCTATTGATTCCGATTTGAATGAAATTCAAGCAGATTGGTAATATTTATATCAGATATTTTTATTAAACATATTAGGAAGTATCAGCATTCTGATAAATGCACAATGTATTTCCGATATATATATAGTATAATTTCTGATATTTGTATAATATAATTTCAATGTAAATTTGATATTTACAAATAATTTATTTTATAAATTTAATAGCCTTTAATTATATATTATAGTTAAGACTTCAAAGATCATGTCTGATTTTTATAAAATAAGCTTTTATTATTTTAGTTAAAACTTTTACGTATTCAAATAAGTTTAAATAAGCTTTTATTGTTTTAGTTGCGTTTGAATAAGTTTAAATAAGCTTTTATTGTTTTAGTTAAAACTTTTACATGTTTTTAGTTTATTAAACTTCTACACGTTCTGACTTTACAAAATTAAATTTTCATTTAGACTATTAAATGAACTTTTCACATTTTAGTTTTACAAATTATTTCATTTTTCTTTTTTTAAAGTATATTAAAGAAATGTCACAAAACAGTAATAAATGTGTCCAAACAGCTAATGTAAGCTATATTCATATTTGTTATTTTTCATTTTATTTGATATATCTAATGTATTTTTATATCTTTTTTAGTTATTTGAAACTAGTACTCTACATAAGCCGAGCCAGCTCATGAGCTAGCTCAAGCTTTTCAAGCTGAGCCAACTAAAGCCAAGCCATGATTAAATTGGTTTGGTAGTTTACAAGCCAGCTTGAAAGAGCTTGAGCCAGTTATTAGGCTCAGCTCAAAAAACTTGAGCCTGTAACAAACTTAGCTCAAAAATCTCGAGCTGATTTACAAGCCAAACAAGCTATTATATAAAAAACATTGCAAAATGTTTTCACAATATTTTTTTCAATATTTAATAAAGAACATTACGAAAATGTTTATTTAATTAAAAAATAATGTTTTGCAACGTTCTTTTTAATAATTTTAATGTAAAAACATTGCACAAATGTTATTTTTACATTAATTTAATTAAAAATAACATTTTGCAACATTTTTTAATAATTTTAATGTAAAAACGTTACGAAAACATTATTTTTACATTAATTTAATTAAAAATAATATTTCGTAACGTTATTTTTAATATTTGAAGTAAGAACATTGCAAAAATGTTTATTTAATTAAAAAATAATGTTTCACATCATTTTTTTAATAATTTAATGTAAAAACATTGCAAAAATGTTATTTTTACATTAATTTAATTAAAAATAGCATTTTTGCAACGTTATTTTTAATAATTTGAAGTAAAAATATTGTGAAAATATTTATTTAATTAAAAATAATATTTCGCAATATTTTTTAATAATTTAATGTAAAAACATTGCAAAAACATTATTTTTACATTTTTTTTTTTTTTTTTTTTTTT